GTGGCAGTGCCCGAGGGCTGGGCTGGATCGCGGAGCCCTGTCCTGCCGCCCCAAACTCTGCCTTTTCCACTCCACCAACTCAAAATGGAGGCACATGCGGGCTGCGAGACCTCGGCGAGCCTGCACTGAGCTTGTGCTGTGACCTAAGCCCGCACGCAGAACGCACAAACTTCGCCCTCGGACCGGCGGCACTGAGCATGTGCTGTGACCCTCCCTCCTTCCTCCTCCTCCTCCTTCTTCCTCCTCCTCCTCCCTCCCTCCCTCCTTCCTCCTCCGGAGCGGCACCGCCGCCGCTGCTCCGCGCACAAATACGGGGATCTGCTATTTATAAATACAGCCCGGATCTGCCAGTAAATACACCGGGATCATTAATAAATACAGCCCGGATCATTAATAAATACAGCCCGGATCATTAATAAATACAGCCCGGATCTGCCAGTAAATACACCGGGATCATTAATAAATACAGCCCGGATCATTAATAAATACAGCCCGGATCTGCCAGTAAATACACCGGGATCATTAATAAATACAGCCGGGATCTGCTGATAAATACACCGGGATCATTAATAAATACAGCCGGGATCTGCTAGTAAATACACCGGGATCATTAACAAATACAGCCCGGATCATTAATAAATACAGCCCGGATCATTAATAAATACAGCCAGGATCTGCTAGTAAATACACCGGGATCATTAATAAATACAGCCGGGATCTGCTAGTAAATACAGCCAGGGATCATTAATAAATACAGCCCGGATCATTAATAAATACAGCCCGGATCATTAATAAATACAGCCGGGATCCGCTAATAAATACACCAGGATCATTAATAAATACAGCCAGGGATCATTAATAAATACAGCCGGGATCTGCTATTTATAAATACAGCCGGGATCATTAATAAATACAGCCAGGGATCTTTAATAAATACAACCAGGATCTGCTAGTAAATACAGACAAGATCCGCTAATAAATACAGCCGGGATCATTAATAAATACAGCCGGGATCCACTAATAAATACAGCCGGGATCATTAATAAATACAACCGGGATCCACTAATAAATACAGCCGGAGATCATTAATAAATACAGCCGGAGATCATTAATAAATACAGCCGGGATCATTAATAAATACAACCATGATCATTAATAAATACAGCAGAGATCCATTAATAAAGCATTTTTACATTCATAAATCCAGGATCCATCCTGTCGGTGCTGCAGTGCAGGCAGCATTTAAGGAATATGATTCTGCCATGCAGCAGGTGTGAACACACCTGAGCACACCTGAGCACAACTGAACACAACTGAACACACCTGAGCACAACTGAACACACCTGAACACACCTGAACACACCTGAGCACACCTGAGCACAACTGAGCCCTGACTCAGTGCCTGAACTCCTGCCCCCTGCATTTATTGGGTAATTCCAAACATGCCCTTAGGTACCCATGTATTTATCCCTCTATTTATCCCATGTATTTATCCCTCTATTTATCCCATTTATTCATCCCTCTGTTTTCCACCTCCTCCATCTACCATGAGGATAAAGAAGGATAAAAAGCTCCCCAAATATTTTATTCTGAGTAACCAAAACCCATCAGGCCCCAGAACAATCCTTCATTTTCTTGCACAATAATCCAGTGAGGAATTTGCATTTTGGCACAGGTGGATACACAATTTCCTTATGGTTTATTCTCTGTTACCCTCCTTGGGAACCTTCACCACCAGCCTGGCTCCTGCCAGGAACGTTTATAACAATTGAAATGTTCAGTAAATCGAGTGCTCCAGCTCCTGGGGCTCTGCTGAAAGGATCTAAAGCCATTCCCTAAGACACAGGACAGCCCAACACTCACTCAGCTCACAACATCCCCCAACAAGAACCCTCCAGAAGATCAAAAACCAAGCAAAAGCAAACCTTGTGCAACCAAAACACAAACACTTCCCCAAATACCCATTCTGAGATTAACCCAAGCCTGGAATGTTGGGCATTGTTTATTTTTACAACACCAAACAACGTTGGGGAGGAGGAATTCTGATCCATGAAACTCTTTGTGGAATAATACCTGGTTATTTCTAATTCCAAGCAAAAATCCAACAGCTTTTTAATCTATGTGTATTCAGAGATGTCAGAGAAAACTTTACAGCATCTTTATTTGATATTTATCAGAGCAGGGCTGGCTGGGAAGATGCCACCACTGGCACCAGGGGTTTGGCATTTCTGCATCCTGCAGGAGAGCTGGGGATGCTCCCCAGGTCCTCACAGGACACCAGAGCACAAAAACAACCACTGGAGGTGGCACTGGCCTTCCTGTCAGGGGAATTAGCACTGTCAGAGCAGCCACTCCTCTGAAGACAGACACAAAATTAATTATTTTCAAGTCCTTGACATAAAATGATTTTTTTTTTCCAGCTGGCAGTGCTGAGATGCATCCTCCAGTCTGGAGAGGCAGGAGCACACAGCAGCTCTGCTTTCATTAACTCAGCTCAAGGTGACAACACTCAGCCCCTGCCCTCTAGATCAGCTCAGGGTTTTATTCCACAACCAGAGTTTTCTCAGGGATGTGACAATTCCTGACACAGCGTCTGTAAAAACCCAGCCCGAAGTACAAAAGTTATTCCAGAAGGTCCAGGCTGACCAATTCCAGAGCAGAGAATGGAACACCAGGACCAGGGCTGATATTCCTGAGAATCACAAGTTTCAAACAGCACAGAAAGCACAAAAAAAACAAACAAACAAACAAACAAAAAAAAAAAACCAAAAGAGAAAAAGACAAAAAAACCTTTCCCTGAGCTCTGAGTCCTCCAACAACAAAAGGGCCTCATCCTGCACATCCCCTCCAGTGCTGGGGATGTTTCTGCAGTCTGGGTTTTTTTGAAATTATTTTGCAAAGACAAACACACAAAAATAGCTTCATTGCAAACATATAAAGACACTAAATATAAATATAAATCTAGATAAATGTAACTCTATAAATAGACTCCCACATCTGAGAGTCCTGAGAAAGTTTCTGAGCATCTTGTGCTGAGCCCAGAACCCCGGGACAGAAAAGCCCCTGGCACACACAGCCCCCAGCTCAGGATTGCTGGGTCCCAGGTGGATCCCACCCCTCATTTTGGGGTCAGTTTCCCACACTTTGGGGTCACTGCAGCTTCCAGAACCTTCTTCTGCAACACCATCACTTCCAAACAACAGCACTGCTTTAGGAAAGCAGAGCAAGTGAAGATAAAACTCCAAGGTCCTGCCTGAAATGTTCCTGAAATTTTCACTTCCCAAAGCAAAGGAAATCCGGCAGCAGAAATTCCCAGCCTCGTGCATCAGCACAAACACAGGTCAGGAATCACCAAAAACCTTCCTCCAGCTCCTCTCTCTGAACCTCCCCCATTCCAGGACAAAATACAGGCTTGAAGAGGTGGAATTAGGAAAAGAAAAAAACCAAAAACCAAAAATCCTGGCTGCAACCAAATGAAGAAAAAGCGACTTTGCAGAGCTGGCCAGTGTGAGTAATTAGCTGATCATTAAGTGCTCTCTCTGCTTTGTCACTTCAGGATCCTCCCAGGCTCAGCCATTCTCTAATAGCTGCAAGAATTAACAGCTGCACCTACCCAGAAAATGGGTTTAAAACCCCACCGACAGCAACGACAAAAAAATGTCATTTCACAGGAGAAATCATCCCTTAGGCACCAAGACTCCAGCCCAAAATTCACGGAGGCAGTGACAAACATCGGGGGGACACCATGAAAACCTCACCAGCCTTGCCCTGGAGCACTGCCCCAAAGAAAACACATTTTAAATGTTTGAATTTGGGATGTTCCCAGGGCTCAGCACCATCCACAAGAGACTCCCAGGGAATGGGAAATGCCCGAGTGGGGCAGTTTCAGTCTCCTCACAAACACAGATTGAGACACTTCAGAGCAAGCACAGGAAGCTCAGAAAAAAAAAGGAAATTTCATCATCAATACCCACACAGGGAGCTCCTTCCTGACAGGGCTGGCAGATTCAGATCTGCATCAGAAACAGAAAATCCACCACGGAACAATTGGAATATTTATTATTTATATGCTTATCTAACCCTCACCCCAAATGAGACTTTTCTCCACAACATCTCTGGAAATCAAAGCCCAGAGCTGATTGTGTTCTGCACTGAAAGTACAATTCCAGCAGGCACAGGCCAAATTATTCACCTTCCATTGGAGTGCTCACAGAAATATCCCCCCTCAACAGCAAAATCCTCAGGCTGGAACTTGTGAGGAATTTTCTGTGTTAGAAAATCCCATAAATGGGGAAAGTGTCACGGTTGGACCCAAAAAATAACAAAGCTACAGCCTGGACTGAGCTTCCCAAACAGAGCTGAGCAAAGCTGGCTGGACACAAACATGAACTGACTCCCAAAAAAGCTCTTTCTGTACCTCTCATTTGTTCAAAGCATAAACCTGACTAATATTATTATTATTATCATTATTATTATTATTATTAGGCATTCCTGATATGGGAGCCTGGACGATTATTTACACATGAAAGCAAGAATTTCCACACTTAAAAACTTTCCATTTGATTTCTTACAAGTATCTCAATTTCAACCTTGCTGACTAGAATATGCAAAATGGTTTTTAGAAATATTTTCAGGGGTGTAGATTCAGCCAACAAGACAGCCAAGAATTCCTGCTAAAGTTTGCAAGCTTTAAAAAACTTTCCATATTTCCAAGAAGCAGCACATTAATTACCCAGAGATGCACCCAGGTATTCAGGACTCAGTGCACAATTTTATTTTCTGCTCTTGTTTTTTTTTTTTCTGGATGAGCACACACTCACAAAGATGCAGCTCCTCCCTTGCATCCCTCCCACCCAGCCAGGATTTTAACCTTTCTTCCCTTGAGTCATTTTCCTAGAATTAAGGTTGGAAAAGACCCCCAGGATGATCAAGTCCAACCTTTGAGTGAACCCCAGCTCGGGTCAGTGGTGGAGTGGAATTTAAAAGCCATTTTCACTTACCTTGTCTCTGGATTGTAGCCCAGGATGTAGAAAAATGAATCCACTCGTGCCTTGAACTCTCTAGCAGCAAATATGTCAGAGAAATGAGAGATGTTGCACTTCCCTCTGAAGGAAAGAAAGAGGAGAAAATGGCATTAGAATTCCAGCTCGAGTAACAGCTACTTTAATTAAAGTGCCACTGCAATCTGGGTAGAAGCCACAGGCATCCCTGCTCTCATAAATGTCCCAAACATCATAAATACAAGGCTGATTTAACAAAAATCCACGTGGCTTCTTCCCACGGTGGAAAGGGAAGGAAATGCAGTTCCATTTGCATTCCTACAAACATTCATTAATTCTCTTCAGCCAGCACAGTCCTGAGGAACCCAAATTTAATCAGCCCAACATCAAGAGCTCCAAATGCAATCCTGACAATCTCCAAGTTGCAAAGCCCTGTCACAGTTACACCTTCCAAAATTCTACTGTCCACATGGTTGAAGTCAGCTTTCTATTTAGGAAGCCAAATAAAACTTCAGTTTAATAAAAGCTCCAAATGAAAAGCAAAGCTGGGGTGCTTTTAGCAAGTGTGCAATCCAAATTCCAAGCAGACAGAAGTTTCTTCCTTTTATTTTCATACCTGAGAGAGTAAAACACACAAAGACTTATTACAGAAAATGAGAAAAAAAAGAGATCTGAGGATTTATTAGCTTGTTCTAGCCCAGATTGCTAATAATTTCTTTAATACAGCTGGCTGATGAAGTCATTACCCTGAAGATGAGCATTAACACTGACTGTGAGGATTTGATTCTCATTTCCTGCAGCCTTTGCTGGGCTGTGGGTGCTGCTGGAGCTCCCTCAGTCCCACGGCCCAGTTTGCTGAATGTGAGCAGGGAAATGAGCCAGGGCTGGGCCTTTTATCCAAACCTGAGCCACTGCAGTGACCACTAACACACATCATTCTCTTTTTCAGACTGCCAGGCTCTAAGACAGATCTCATCTCTCCTCACTGCTCTCTCCTGAACAGTTACAAACAGATATAAGTCTGTTATACCAGGCTGCTCAGGGGCTTCTTGCACACTGCTGGAGGCTTGCAGTCCTGTTGGAAATGAATTCAAAGTGCTGCAGGCACCAGCACAGAGAGAGGAATCTTTGTTTTCCTGCAGTGATGCTGCTGGGCAGCCTGGGCACAGAAATGCCCACTGGCATCTGCCCCTGGGGAATTCTGCACCCGTGGACCTGGGCACTGAGGAGGCTGAAACACTCAGCTCACTCCTCTTCCTCATCTTTCCAGGGTAAATTAAAAAAAAAAAAAACAAAAAAAAACTCTGCCAGAAGGCTCAGAGAGCCCTGGCCTGCACAGGAGCTCTCACAAAACTGCTGCTGCAGGGCAGGGAAACAGCCTGGGAGGAATAAAAGGAATAAAAGTCATGGAGGGGGAATAAAAAGTGATGGAGGGGGAATAAAAAGTCATGGAGGGGGAATAAAGTCGGGGCTGTTTTGGGAGTGGAGGCTGCAGAGCTGCCCCTGTGCCTGCCCTGCCCGTGCCCTCCTGGCAGACCAAAGCAGCCCTGGGCACTGGCCAGGTCCTGGCAGGTTGTAAAGGACGAGCAGCAAGGTCTGAGAGCCCCACACAGACCCCAAGCCCAGCCCTGCTCACTAACATTGATTTATTTGCTCCCTGGAACCTGATGCTGATTGCCAAGTCGAGTCATTCAGAGAGACAGAAAACAAGCAGGGGGGTTTGTTTTGATATTTCACGTTAAATTCACGTTTTAAAAGTATTCTGGGAAAAGAGTTTTATCTTCCTTTCAAGAATTCACCTGGCAGCTAATGAGCATTTTCCAGAGAAGCTGCATTATCTCTCTGGATGGCAGCAGCACATCCTGCTCACAGCACTTGTGCATTTCACCAGCAAGATTTACCAGAGAGGAAAAAAGCACATCATGTTTACTGCACACTTCCACTGAGATCTACAACTGCCCTCTAGTTAAATTTTTCCACTGCTTAGAGCACAATGTTGGTAGTTACAATCACTGGTTTTATTCCCCAGTTTGTGTCCAGAGCCTTTTGTTTGCAGAGGGCAGAGAAATAATCTCATATTATAATAAATTAGAATTTCATGTTAACCTTTCATGCATCACGACACATTCTGCCTCCCCCACGTTCTCTGCAAGAACACCACGTGCAATTATCCTTCTGCTCATCTTGTGCACTCACAGGTTATTTTTCAAGTTTGTTCGGCACACACATATATTCCATTTTTATCTTTCTGTTTCTATCTTTCCTTTAAAGGGGAAAAAAAATAACAGAAAGGATGGGGAAGAGGAGTTAGAACAGTCCCAGCGAAAACTGCACCAATTTCCAGCCTGGTTCCATCAGGACACCCAAACTCCTGATTGAAAAGTGGACTCAGCAGAGGCACTGTGGGATTCCAGGAGCTCCTGGCACATCTCTGGAATGCTCTGAGTTTATAAGAAAGGTTTAATATGTAAATCAAAGACTTCCCCCTGCCAGAACAGAAGCCAGTTTGTCTTGAAGTAAGTGGCTTCAGCAAAGTGACTCTGAACAAAAAAATGTCTCCAGATGGCTCTGGTGAAACACCATCTGAGCACCATTATCAGGGAGATTATTCAATTTGCATCCTGACAATATCCATGCATGTTTGGCATGCTGAAAATCAGCTGACAAATCATGCCTTGCTGCTGGGATGTGAAAACATTGGAAGTGAGGGTGGATCTCCCTCAGCCCTGTCAGGGCTGGGCAGCTCAGCCAAAATCCTGGAGGGTGAAAAGCAGCAGCCCCAGGGCAGGGACAACACCTGGGCCACTCCCTCCTGGGCAGGGACATTCTCCTCAGCTCTGGCCTGAGCTGTGACCACGGAGAACGCTCAGAAAAAGCCTTTAATGCAATTTAATGCAATTTAATGCAATTTAATGCAATTTATTGCAATTTAACCAGGGCAGTGCTGCAGGAGGTGCCACTGCTGACAGGGAGATCAGGGCAGTGCTGCGGCAGGAACCAGCAATGGCCTGAGCTGGCACTGATGGGAAACAACAACTGCTGAGCAGCAGGGAGGGACTGGGATGGAGAGGAGATCAATGGGATGGAGAGGAGAACACTGGGATGGAGAGGAGAACACTGGGATGGAGAGGAGACCACTGGGATGGAGAGGAGACCACTGGGATGGAGAGGACACCACTGGGATGGAGAGGACACCACTGGGATGGAGAGGAGATCAATGGGGTGGAGAGGAGATCAATGGGATGGAGAGGAGAACACTGGGATGGAGAGGACACCACTGGGATGGAGAGGAGACTGCACAACTGCAGCTCCCTGCTGGAGCAGAGCACAGAGATCACTGCAGGGGAGGAGGAGGAGGACACAGCTGGGCTGGGGCTGAGTGACCCCCAGACACCTCTGTGCCCCCAAAACCCCAGACACCTCTGTGCCCCCAAAACCCCAGACACCTCTGTCCCCCAGAGCCCCAAAACCTGTCCCCCCAGGCTGTTCCCCAGCCCCAAACACTCTGTCCCAGCCCCAGGCTGTCCCCAGGCTGTCCCCAGGCTGTCTCCAGGCTGTCCCCCAGCCCCAGGCTGTCCCCAGGCTGTCCCCAGGCTGTCCCCAGCCCGTCCTGACCTCAGGGCAGCAGCGTGGTACGTGTCCACGTAGTCGGAGATGAAAAGCTCCCGGTTCTTGATCACCGGGTCTGTGATCACCAGCTCCCGTCCCGAATCTGCCAGGGACAAAAACCACAAACACAGCCCTGTCAGTCACAGCAGCTGGGCCAGCACTGCCAGCCCTGGCAGCTCACAGTGTCCCTGGCACCGTCCCTGGCACCTCACAGCTCTGGGATGCTCCTCAGGTGCACACCCCGAGGTGACAAACACCATGTCCCTGTGCTCAGTGGGGATGGGATGCAAGAATTAACGTGTGGGAACATCAGATCGATCCTTAGCCAACAATTCTCCCGGGATTTCCAAAGGGAAAAAGCTTTTAAGGGCACTGGGTGTCACATCTGGAACACTGGGTGTCACATCTGGGGCACTGGGTGTCACATCTGGGGCACCCACTCCCAGGAAATCCAAGGGAATGGATTTGTTCTGGTTCCCAGCATAAGGCATTGGCTCCTGTGCATATTTAAAATATAAAAATATTTAATGTCAAGTCTTCAACAAGATCCTGACACTGTAACTGCCTAGTGCTCTGGCTTTGAGGTAAATATTGACATTCACATTCAAACATGGAAAATTCTGAGTGTTAACAAAGAACTGGAAGACAACTTTTTCCATGACTTTTTTCTTTGAGGAAGACACAAAAATACTTCTCCACACACAGGAGACTGCATAAAAAAAGCGGCCATGCTATCAAAAATACTTTTTGACACTGTGCCTGTAATCTCATTGTTAGAAGTTTCAAATAAATTAGTAATAGAAATGTAAGATTCGTGGTGCTTTTGCTAAAAGCACACACAAAATGTCCTTTAAAAGGGAAATGTGTGCTCAACTTTGTTCTGTCAGGCACCAGAAAGTTGCTGCGTTCCACATTTCAATCATCAACTTTTATCATCACAGTTCACCTTGGAGTATCTTCAGAATTTTTAACAGTTGCCTCAAGGAAATTTCCTGGTAAGAACAGCAGCAAATGTTATGTCTTCCCTGGAGGCAGGAGATAAATGACACTGGGATATGTACTAAAGTTTCTTCTGCTTCTATGCAACCCAAGATCACACTTGTTTTTGCAAAGAGAAAAGGGGAAACTCAGCTCCAAGTGCTTCATCTCCATCCCTCACTGCAGCATTAATCAGTGAATATTCATGTGTGTAAGCATGGCTGGAAAAGACACAGCTCTCATGGCAGAACCACAAAAACCAGAGCAGACCCCCAATTTCTGCAGATAATTTGGTGCTCAGTTTGTTATCAGTCCAGTGTCCAGGGTTATTTTGCTTTTCTATCCTCTCTCAAGGAGAGGAAAAAAATTACAAAAAAAAATACATTCTTGCTGCTGTTGTCATTAATTATTATGAATACAGCCCAGCACTCCCAGCACACCTGGAATGCCCCTGGATTGCAGGGACAGGACACAGCAGGGACAGCAGGCAGGTAAGAAACCAGCAGCCCTTCTCTAACAGCAGGGCCTGGCTCCACAGCCCTGGGCA